ACTTGCCAATGAAAAATGACAACAACTTGTCTTATTCTATTTGCACCAATGCAACAAAGGAGAATAATGTATGAAACTATCATGTATTTATCTTCATGTATTTACATCCATAAAAGCTGTTTCTTTTTTTTAATTAATTAATTAATTAATTAATTATGTGCATACACATAAGTGGGGGAGAGGCAGAGAGTGAGGGAGGGAGAGAATCCCAAGCAGTCTCTGCCCTTTTAGGTGGAGACTGACATGGTGCTTGATCTCGTGAACTGTGAGATCATGGCTTGAGCTGAAATCAAGAATCGATGCTTAGCTGACTAGGCCACCCAGGTGCCCCCATAACTGGTTATTTTCAGTAGAATATGTATAGACTTACATATAGTTGGTGCTGAATAAATACTGGATGAATGAATGAATGAATACACAAATAAATGAATATGTGGTGTCTCACATACATAAATGTACCAGTTGATCATTGTTTAAAAAATGAAAAATTATACTTTGACCGGTTAAAAAAAAAGTTGTATTTGCAGCTCTGTTCATTTGAAATATGAAACTGCAGCTCTAATGACTTTTTTTTAAAAAAATCCCATGGTATTGACAAATAAATGAAATACTCCAAAATGGATATATTTTTCTCAGCAGAAACTTGTTGTATATATATAACTTTAGGATGCACGTTCCACGCTGACAACTGAAATGTATATAATCTGACCAGCCAGGTTCAGCCAGGGAAGCAGCATAGGATAAAGAGTCAGTTAGGACATTAATATTTTTCACTTTGATTTTGAGTTTATGATACTAATGTTAAATGTTATTTAAATCTTAGATCCAGTCCCAAAACTTAAACATTCACTAGCCTATAAAAAGTCACTTTCTCAGCTATGTGAATAAATTTTCAGTTGATGTTTGAGTATGTTTTTAAAAGCTTGAGTAGTTCAGATTGTCTCTCTAGTTGTCTAAACTCTGAATAATTACTAGCTTTCTTCTTTATGCCTTAAGACAACTTGCCTCCTTACTGGTGGACTTTCTGGAAATTAATGCCATTTGTTATTTAAATAAGAATGTTTTCATTTATTAAGTTGATAGTTTGCCTTTTTTTCTTTTCTTTATCTCTTTTTTATGTTTTACTTATTTACTAAAAAAATGTTTTTAAGTTTATTTATTTTGAGAGGGAGAGAGAGAGAGAGAGCACACATGGGGGAGGGTCAGAGAGAAGTAGAGACAGAACCCCAAGCAGGCTCTGCAACCTAACTGCAGAGCCTGATGCAGGACTTGAACTCACGAACTGTGAGACCATGACCTGAGCTGAGATCAAGAGTTGGGTGCTTAACCAACTGCACCACCCGTGTGCCCCTCTCTCTTTTTTGAAAAGTAAACTTTCTAGTATCAAACATACCTCAAGTGGCTTGAAAAGCGGTGTTAGTTTTTTAAAAGTTCAGTTCCTGAGATTCCAGTAGGTGGCACTCTTACAAAGCCTAAAAGAATTGACTACTTTGGCAACCCAGGGTTGTTTTCTAGATGGTTCCCTTCTACTGTGACCTACTTGCAAACCTATTTGTTCTGGATAACTAAAAGTTATTGTTTTCCCTAATTATCAGAGTTATACATGCTCTTTGTTAAGCATTTTAAGAAATGTACATAAGAAAAAATATAACTGTCTTCTGAGTCCTTGGTAATTTCTAGAAGATAACCACTGTAACAATATGCATATATACATACAATATACTAATATACATTAGTATATACAATACTTTCCAGATCTTTCTGTAGCCTGTACATACAACCAAAGGATATAAAAAGTAAACATTTTAATTGGCGAGGTTTTAGATTTTAAAATGATCATGAACAATATGCTTGTCTTTTGTTGTCTGATCTTGTACTTGGGTTTTGTCTTGTAAGCTATTTTCCCTTTATTTTCCTTAAAGACAGACCTCTCACTTCTGCAATTCATTAATTGCTGAGTCCAAAAGGACCTTTTACATCTGTGTTGAATTAGGGCTTGTGGTCTTGTGAATGAGGGCTGGAATCTTGTGATAAGGATGCTGTGCTAATTGCACTTCTTAGCAGTGAGAATGGGGCAGAGTGAACTTAAATATAAACCTAATGCACCCTTTGCCAACTGAAGACTGTAGAATATTCTGAAATATTACCAGAATAGGACTGCTATTTTGGACTTGATGACTATTCCATGAGATCCTAGCCATTGGCGCTTATGTGGGCAATTTTGTGATATCACTGATTTTTTTTTCAGTAGCTCCCCCCCCCCCCCCCACCAATATAACTTTAAGTCCAGCTGACTTCCCCCAGAGTGAATAATCCAAGAGACCCAGCCAGAATTGAAATGCTTTTTGTGGCCTAGCCTTGGAAATCACACACGATCACTTCTTCAGTAGGTCTACTCTATTCATTGTTGGAGGGGACTGTATACAGGGACAGGAGTACCAGGAGGTGGGAATCATTGGGGCCATCTTGGAGGCTACTGCAAGAAGCAATCAATGCATAGAAGATTACTTTATTCTTTTAATGAGGTGTAATTGACACACAGTATTTACTCATTTCAAATACACAACATAATGATTCAATATTTGTGTATATTGTGAAATGACCACCACAGTAAGTCTATAGATAGCTATTTTAAAGCCACAGGATTAGTTAAGATCACCCAGGGAATGAGTGTAGAGAGAGAGGACAGAAAGACGTGGCCAGCATTCAGAGGTCACAAAGAAGGATCTGAGAAAAAAATGGCAAGTGAGGTGTTGTCCATGGGAGCCCAGAGGAGAAAATGCTTTGAAAGGAAAGGAGTGCTGAAAAACTATGATGGTAGCTAGGAACAGCCCACTGGGTTTATCCTTGTGCAAAACTCCTTTCTCCTTTGAGTCGCACACAGTGCAGATGTAGTTATAAGGAAAACAGATGTTATTTGAAAGAGTAGTACTACTTGCAGCCACTGTTGTGTACCAGAAAAGGGATATCATCTACTACTTGGAGGCTGTGGACCTTGTTCAGGAAAAGACTTTGGTCATTTCTTTGGGTCTAAAAGGTGAAGTTCTCCCAGGATGTGTTGTGGTGGGTGAGGGCTAGGCCGAGAGTGGAATTGCTATGCATAATATGGAGATAAATGGAGCACTGGAAACCACTAGCAAATATTAAAAGGAGTGTGACTTCAGAAAGCTGCATGCTGAAGCAGGTCAGCTATAATGGCATAATAACCTTCCGTGGGTTTTTGCACTCAGGGCTAGAATTCCTCCAGGCTTGCGTGACTCCTGCCTCTCCCTTCTGCTCCCCATGACACTCCTTGTTCATCAGTTCCCCTAGTTGCTGTGCCCCATATGGGTTCCATACACTAAATAATAATAGAGTGCACGTATTGAGTACTTGTTAGGTGCCAGGGACAGCTTCTAGTGTTTTATGTATGTTACCTCATTTCATCTCCACAAAACCCACCCACTTCAATGATGGATGGGGAAACTAAAGTGCACAGGGATTAGGTTACTTACTATGAAGTGGCAGAGCCGGGATTTGAACCCAGTCTGGCTTCAGGGCCCAGGCTCTTAATCGTTAAGTCCTGCTCTTATTTCCCTTTTAGGGTTTCGAATTTGGCAACCCAGATTGAACCCCCATCTACTCAGGCTTAAACTTTGGCCACCTGCTGCCACAACCCAGAACATGACACCTGTTATTGACTCATGGGTCTGATCCACCCCAATGAAAACCCCACCCTCGGCCTCAATGGCGCCAGATAGGAGAAGGGACGTCAGAGCAATGTTTGTTTACAGCCTCGTGTTCTTTCACATGTGTTTCCTCTGTTTCCTTTTCCCCTTCTCTGCCTGGTTGATTTCTGTATGAAGCAATTAGTTGCCCCCTGACAAACTGTTCACTTCTTCGTCCATGTGTCCTTTGAACTTCTATCTGCCTTATCTCTCTGTATCACCATTTCTGGTAGAGGTGTATCTCTGCCCTCTAATTGTGAGCTCATCCAGGCAAAGATCTTATCATATTCACCTTTGAGTCTCCAGTCTTGTATATTGTAAGGGTTCCGTAAGTGTTTCATGACTGAATGAAAGAAGGTCCTAGAAAAAGAATAGGACAACTGTTCTCCCCCATCATGGGTAATGTAATTTTGCTGTAACCTTGATTGGCTGATGTAAAAAGGACAGAACTTCTACACTTGATCTTAGCCAAAAGGCCGAGAAGCGATAAAAGGACAGAACTTCTAAAAGAATCTTTTTCTAAAAGTGCATTTATTTTGAGAGAAAGAGAACACGCATGTGGGTGCATGTGAATGGGGCAGGGGCAGAAATCGAGAATCCCAGGCTGGCGCTGCACCAAGAATCTGTATGTATGTATGTATGTATGTATGTATTTAGAGTGAGAGCACAAGTAGGGGAGGGGCCGAGAGAGGCAGAGGGAGAATCCCAAGCAGGCTCTGCACTGTCAGCATAGAGCCCGATATGGGGCTCGAACCCACCAACTGTGAGCTCATGATCTGAGCTGAAGTCGGATGCTTAACTGACTGAGCCATCCAGGCACCTCTCTAAAAGAATCTTCTTAACTTAATCTCCAACCTTGCCATCTTCATCTCAGTGTTTATCTACTTTACTATTAGTATTTTACAAACCTCTCTCTATGCTCTTGACATTATTGTTGGAATAGAGAAGGTACACATTTCACATTATTACCATTCATCTTTTATTTATTAAAACCATACTACTTGATCAGAATCCTGTGATTAAAACATGTTCCCGGTCACCAGAAGAAAGTTTATTAAAAGACTACTGCAGGTCCAGAAAGATGTAAGGCAATTTTGGTTTGTTATAAAGACCAACGTGGCCATAGTGATTTGTAATTGAAGAGCAAAAAGGACTCATAGTGAATAGGGAATCCAAGGAAAATGAAACAGACAGAAGTAGAATTGAACTAATATCTTACTCTGAAAGGGATAATTTCTGCTTGTAAATTTACTGTTCCTAAGGAATCAATCTTGGGGAAGATCTTATGAAATTTTATATTAGTTCTTCCTGAACTTGAGATGAGACCACTTCACCATTCACCACTTCCTGCACAATTGTCTTGATTTTCCGGGATTTGGTTGGATCTAAAGATAAAAATAGAATGAAGGGGGCGAAAGTTAGTGTTTCACATATTCATCCAAAATTGATTGTTGTTTGACTTAAGCTTTAAGTGAGATAGTGGCAGATACAATCCATTAAATTTAAACTTGTGAAAGTGACTTTTGCATTCTAAAACAATGCATGTTATTCAGTGAAAATGAAATGTATTCTGTATTGTCTTATGCACAAATGAAAATACTTTTCTTTTTAAACATTTAAAAAGTGGTTATGATGCTCATAATACCTCTTTGTAGAGTAGATTTTTCCCTTCCTGGGCTTGCCAAAAGTTTTATATAGTACAGACTGTGTATTTTTCTGCAGGAATGCATAAATATTTTTCCTTGGCTCAGAAATGCAAATATACTTTAAATTATTAATATTATTAACTGCAATATTTAATGAGATCTTATAGTTTTAGTCATTAATAAGTGTGATTCTGACTTACTCTAAGTGATTCTTAGGGAATCTGCATACCTTTAGAGGAATCGATCGACTGTGTTTGAGATTTGGAGTCTGTCACATATAAACTTTCATCAAAACCGTCGCTGTAAAGAAAACAAGGGAGATGGTATCACATGATGCTTTCTGGGAGGAGGAGAAATAGAGTTTGCTGTTTAAGCTAAAAATGTGCATAAAACTAGTTTTCTAAATTTCTTGATGAACAATGATTGAATGTTGCACCCTGAGAGGAATCACTTAGTGCGGGGACCTTTATTTTCAAACCGTGCCTAAAATGGGCTCTCAAAATGAAGCGAACTGGCAGTTAATGGAAGATCTGCTCTCAGAAGTCAGATTTCCTGATTTACAGCCCCGGGCTCTTCCCACTATTCCAGGCTGCTGCTCCCTTTTGGAAAGTTCGCTGCAGTTGGTTGTGAGGTGACTCAGGTGGCTGTTATTTGATGTGTCATTCTTAGCATTGGGGCATTGATACCAGGTCTCTAATGGGTGACTTTTCTAGTGCTCCTTTGCAGTATGCCTCTTGTCTGTGGTGCCATTATTCATCCCAGCATTTTATAAAATTCAAGATAGCGGGTGACAGCACTTTGCAAAGTGTAGGACATTTACCAAATCTAAGGCATGTCATTAGGAGATGTGGTTAATTTCCATCAACCAGAGAACCCTGCCTTCTGTTGCCCAGAGCGCAGCAGGTGGCCGCTGTTGGTCAGCCACTAAACTCATTTCCAACCCATTTCAACCTGTCTATTCACCCTTGGGCCTCGCCGTCCAGCAGGCGGCGGTAGGTCTCGATCTCCAGCTCCAGGCGGGCCTTGGCGTTCAGCAGCCGCTGGTGGTCGGCGTTCTGGCGCTGGGCGTCGGCGCGCACCTGGAGCAGCTGCTCCTCCAGGCTGCCGATGAGCTGCTGCACCTGCGACAGCTGGCCGCAGTAGTCGCCCTCCACTTCCGCCAGCGAGTCCTCCAGGGATTTCTTCTGCACGGTGGGAGGGAAATGGCACAGACAGAACGGTGGAGGGGACTGAAGTGAGGAAGGCGGCCCGCCGGTGGCCTTCCTAATGTGGATGGCACGTTTTCTTTGGAAGTCATGAAAAGATACTGCGCGGGCGCGCCCTACCGTGGCCAGCTGGGACTGGAGCTCGATCTCCAGGTTTTGAACTGCGCGCCTCAGGTCGGTGACCTCGCTCTTGCTGGACTGAAGCTGCTCCGTGTTGATGCTGATCTCCTTCCTTAGCTCCCCGCTCTGCCGAGGCAAACAGGGGTGAAGGGACGTGAGCGGACGCTGTTCCCGCGCCTCTTTCCTGCAAATGGGTCAAAGCCTTTTGTTTCTGTTCGTGGTACCTTTTCAACGAACCAGGCCTCCGCGTCCTTACGATTCTGCTCAGCGATGGCTTCATACTGCGCCCTCATGTCGTTGAGGAGCCTGGTGAGGTCCAGCCCCGGAGCAGCGTCCATTTCCACGCTGACCTGCCCCGGGCCGCCTGCCAGGAAGGTTTGGAGCTCCTGGGCACAGAGAGTGAGAAAAAGAGGGGCTCAGAGGCCCGTTGTGACTTTCGTGGGTCTCTTCCAACACAAAAGACACTAAATGTTTTATTTCATAACCGTGTTGCTGTACTGACATAATACAAAAATTAAACTTTTTTTAACCTAAAAATTCGTGTTTTTCTTCTATTTTAAAAGAACTTAAGACATTTTCTTGGGTCCCTAAACTTACCATAGGCCCTAGGGGCTGTGCCTACCATAGAAAATGGATGAGTTGGCCCTGCCTCTTGGGGTTCCAGGGCCTTTACCAAGAAGAAGGGAGGGCCTGGTGGGAAAGGTATAGTGGGGTTTCAACCACAGCTGCCAGACGGGGGCTGCAGAGAGTACAGGGGTTGCGCACTGTACCACAGTCATTGATTTCCAGTAGAAAGTTATTTAGAAACCCATTGCCAGGGTCATGATTAATGTCTGTTTTATACACCAGCTTTTGATATAGTGGCACACCAGAGTCCCATGGGAGTTTTACACTGGGCATAACCTGTTTCTCTGACATATAAAACATTATGTATTGTTTGTAGACTTTTGTTTTTGAACTTGAAAAGTACTATATATTTTTTTAAATCACTAAATCAGGACAGTTAACATTCTGATTGTTCTTACCTAGTGATGCAAATGACAACATCAGAAAGCACCTCTAATCCATTAAACCTTCACTGAAACCACCACCAATCCCACCACCATACATACACACATCCAGAAATTCAAAGCAAAGGGCCAATTTAACAAGGACATGATGTATCATCCATATTGGGTCTAACTGTAGGTTTGTAAATTTGAAATTGTAATTTGTGAATTCGGGAGAAAAAAAGCAGCTTAGAAAGCTGCCTTTTCAGCTGACCTCTTCATGATTCTTCTTCAGGTAGGCCAGCTCCTCCTTGAGGTTCTCGATCTGCATCTCCAGGTCGGCCCTGGCCAGGGTCAGCTCGTCCAGCACCCTGCGCAGGCCGTTGGTGTCGGCCTCCACACTCACCCGCAGGGCCAGCTCGTTCTCATACCTGAAAACCAAGTGCAAAACAGTTCCTGGAGTCCACACACCCATTTGAATAAGGCCCCTGCCATCATTTCAGGGCTGTCTTGTGCCCCTTGTGATTACTTAAAAGTGGCAGCATCGTGACGTATGACATATGATGCTCTTTTTCCTTTTTAAGATTTTCCCTTCCTTTTTTTCATGGTAATTTACTGCTCAGTTGGAGAGAAGTGAAAAAATTGTGAGGTGAGACTTTTCTGCCGGCAATGACCCTCAGTAGCACTGTGTCCCAGGGAACAGTTTCCCCTTTGGCTGGCCACCCCGGCTATAGACAGTAGTAGCCCCTCTCCAGGTGGGGTTTCTGATGGCATCCTAAAAGCAGCTGAAAATAAAATAATAGTCTTTTTGCTTAACTTTTATTCACGATTTAATTTAAAACACTGCTACTTCCTTAATAGCTTTTACCAAGACTTCAGAGGTTCAGGATCATCAGCACTGCCACATCCTGTGTGGGGATTTTGTGGAACAGGATGAGCATTAGTGTTTCTTCCTCAGGTCTGGGAGGGTGGAGTAGGGAAAGGAGGAGGGAATATCAAAATAGGTGTGTGGTTAATATTTTAGTGGTATGTGTCATCCGGCAAAAGACAATTTCACTCAACTTCTGGGCAAAAACATTATGAATTCATTTTGATGCATGGGAGATCGAGGTGTGGGACATCGGTGGTAATATCATATCCGCGTTATGAGCCAACAGCAAACTACCAGCATGGTGATCATAGCCCTAGGCTAAAGCACCTTATAATTAAGGATGTGTGAGGTGAATTGTGTCCGAATCTGATTACTTCCTAGAATGCCCAACGTGCATTTACCAAAACAACAAATGCGCAGAGCACGTGAACTGCAGAGGGGTAGAATGTTTGCCATCAACGAAGGCAGGAAAATAGGGACTAAGAAGAAATAATGAGACCTGTCAATTCTCATCAGTCTTTCTTTTGTTCTACTCACTTCATTCTGAAGTCTTCGGCAGCCAGTCTCGCGTTGTCAATCTGCAGGATGAGCTGGGCATTTCCAATGGTGGCAGAAATGATCTGGCCAAAGAGGGGGAGACACACAAAATGAGGACGGAAAATACTAGTATTATGCAGGTATATTTTTGACAGAAAATTTTTAGGTGATGTTAACATGCGATTTCATTACGAGTTTAAGACAATTTAACTTTTTAAAAGAAAACATCTATAACATTTTATTTAAAAATCAAGAAACATGTTTTTGCAGAAAAGATAGCAGAAGTACAATCACTTTATAATAAATGATAAAATGAAACTAAATATCCTGAGTTGAGAAATTGCTCCTAATACAGTCAAATTGAAAAACCTTAAGTTTTACATGTCTTATCACTGTAAAATATTGTAATAGTAAAAAAGAAACATCAAAAGGAATTCCCAAAGCCCCTTCAAAAACCATATTGTTACCTTATTCCTGAGGTCTTCGATCAATGGATAATATTTACTGTAATCACTCTGCGACCTGGGGTCTCCAGTCCCAGATCCTCGTGTTTCATACCATTCTCGAATTTTGTTTTCTAGCTCAGTATTAGCCTCTTCTAGAGCTCGAACCTTATCCAGGTAGGAGGCCAATCTGTCATTAAGATTTTGCATGGTTTCCTTTTCTGATCCAGAAAGAAGGCCTCCATCACTGCCAGAGAGAATGCCTCCAGGGCCACCTCCGGGGCTTCCTCCAAATCCAATTCCCAGGCCTCCAAAGCCACCTCCCAGGCCTCCAAAGCCACTTCCTAGGCTTCCAAAGCCACCTCCCAGGGCTCCAGAACCACCTCCCAGGGCTCCCCCATAAGCACTGCCCAGTCCTCCTGCAAAGGAAATTCCAGAGCCACCACCAAAGCCAGAACTAGAACCAAACATGGAAGCAGAAGAAAAGCCTCCCCCATAGCTGTCTCCAAAGCCAAAGGTGCTCCCCCCATAGCCACTTCCAACGATGGAAGCGGACGTGCCCCTGGCTCTGCCCGATGTCCCACTCTGGGAAGATGGCCGCCGGGAGAGCCCAGAGGTGCGTACTGAGAGGGACATGGTGCTGCTGGAGAGATCCGCAGCCCAGGGAAGGGGGCTACAACCTGAGAGAAAGCAGTGTCAGCAAGGCAGAAAGGTTGGCCTTTTATAGGTCATGAAATGGGTGTTACAGTTGAGAAGTTCACTCTCTTCATTCAAAATATTGTGCTTCCCCCTTTTTTTGACCAGCTCAACAAATGCATGATTTATGCATACTGAAAACTTATCGGTATAGAACTAATTGAATAATTGTGCCCATTATATATTTGTTATACAAAAAAGAAATCTGGGTGGAGTAGAGATAGGTTGTCAGAAGGAATTTTTCTCTTCCAACATATTCTATTGCTTGTATTCTCAGCACTGCCTGGTGTCTTAGGCACAGTGGGAAGGCAATGAGTGATTGTCAAATGGATAAACTAATCGTACGTCGTCCTCAGCCTTGAGCTTCTTAAAGTTCTTCACTCATATTTCTGACTTGTTTCCTTTGGAAAACTAAATGTAAACCATGCAGTCATGATCTAGTCTATCTCCTAGTGGAATATAGATTCAGAAGCAGTTGTGAAACGCACTGGTGAGAGGTGGGGGAGTAAATGCATTTTCCAGATTCATACAGGAATTTGAATTCTCAAAGATTTTTTTCTTAATTTTTTTAATGTTTAATTTCTGAGAGAGAGAGAGAGAGAGAGAGAGCAAGGAGCAGAGAGAGGGAGAGAGAGAGGGAGATGCAGAATCTGAAGCAGGCTCCAGGCTCTCAGCTGTCAGCACAGAGCCCCATGTGGGACTTGAACTCATG